TATAAGAGAAACTGTAATTCAGGTGTTCATGTGATTGATGGTAAATATATTGACAGGAGTTGTGTATTTTCCTGACGTATATATGCAAGTTTGCAATCTGGGCACTTTAATTCAAAAAGTGTATGAGATTTTATTTCTCTCCGTCGTTCTATGGTGTGTTCTAGTTTCTGAAGTCGTGTGCTTCTTGTATAGCTTGAAATAAGGACATTCAAGCATGATGAGTCATTTGGATAGTGTATCAAGAACCAGATTGAGTGGGTTCTATGATGGGAAGCTGATGTTCTAAATAATGTTGTAACATCATTTTTGTGGAAGCTATCTGAGTCTATGTTCAACGTCATTATCAGAATAGGAATTTCTTACTATAATAAGAAGGGTCTAGTCTTGCCTAACGTAGTACGCTTGGGAATGCATATCTCTATCCATCAATTACATGTAAGGACAGAGGAATGAGATCAGATAGTAAGAAGAAGTCAGAAGGCTTAGTTGTTCTCTCAAGGAGCTAAGGTATCTAGTTCAGGATCCAGGGTGTAAACGTGTTCAGCTGGAGTAATGGTTATCATTGATAGGGGAGTTAAATACTTGTCTCTAAATTGTTGTTGTAATGGGACTGTTCAGGCTTGTGGAGTACATATGTCTCTCTGGAAGACTGTGTTTGTGACTGGGAGTATTTATCTTTATCTACAGACTTTTGATGGGACTCAATGGATGTTATGGGTGATGAATGTGAGATGTCACACATATGATGTGCTGTACTGGCCAAAAGAAGTATAATCCTGTGGGAGATATTAAGAATATGCTTCAGGATATTTGGATATTTCTGTGAAGCAATTTTGGTACTTTGGCTACAAGAATAAGCAGATAATGTCTTACTGGATGTTAGAACTTTGGTTAGGAGATGTTTTTCTCTTTGAGCCAAACAAGGGAGTGTTATGGACGGTGTGATCAAGCACATGCCAGAAAAGTGTACAAAGAGTTTGTCTGACTATGCATGTGCATGGTGTAGCAACTGCTTTTTTAAATTAAGAGTCTCCACTATTAGTTTTTATCCTATGGAAGGGAACCTAGCAGAAAACCCTAATTCGCAGACAGAGACTCTAGGTTTCAAACTCAATTAGACGAAAGGAAGGTGTTAGGCACCTTTCATCTACCTTGTTCACAAGGATACTTAAGCTCTAGGTTTAGGTTTGGGGTAAACTGGATTTTAAGTTTTAAATAGAAAGACTCGCCACGATTTTAGATCCTATGCCTACGTATCCTCTTATGAGGAATCAGAGTCCCAATTCGTAGTTCGTATGGGGTTGGTGTATGAGATCATATCTTCCAAATGAAGCATTTTTTGGACTTGAGAATAAAATCAAAGTTGTAGAGATTTTAATTTCCTTCAAAATGGGCTTTGGTTGGAAAAAAGTTGATGAAGCATGTGAAAGTTATGTCTGATCAAAATCCAGTTGACTTCTCCTAAAGAAACCCTAATTTGGCAATTTTTTACTTTTGATGATTTGAGGGCTTTCCTCGAGGAATCATGATCAACCCATAATCAAATAATGAATATCACCAAAAATATTGAAGTTTGACTGTATGTTGGCTATAGTTAACTTTTTTACCAATACAATTGATTTTCAATCATCTGAGCCATTGATTGAGCAAACTTGTGATGTAGTGCTTGAAACTTGACATGAACCTTGTTGAGGACCTATGAAGAACCATGGAAGCCACTTGAGACTTTTTCAAACCAAATTTCCTTGAGAAATTCCAAAGCCTAGTTGTAGGATTTTGGCTTAGGGGGGGCATCTTGACTAGTCAATCCTTGAGTGTCCTGAGTGTCTAAGAAGCCTTGGAAGAATGCCTTGAAAAAAATGTGACGGAAAATTTTGGGGTACAACAAGAAGTAACTTAGCAAACCAACTCCAAGAGTCCCTAGTTTAATTCTCTATAACCCCAAAGGCAAGTGGAAGATACTGGTCATTGGCATCCCTACTGGCAGCTATCAACAAGATTCCACCATATTTGTTTTTTAGGTGACATCCATCTAACCCTATGAATGGTCTACATCCAACCTTCAATGCTTTCTTTGTACCATCAAAGCACATGTAACACCTTTCAAACCTAGGTGGAAAACCAAAAATGTTCAACTTAAATGTGTTTCCTTTGGATTTCCTCCTCAATTCAGCTCCATATGACCATAGCATACTGTATTGCTTGACCGAGTCCCCTTCAACAACCTTTCTAGCTAGCTGCCTTGCTTTGAAAGCCCTACATCCAATCATTTCTGTAGTAAACCTAAATCTTACATTTTCTACAACTCCACTCAATTTCATACCTCAATTGTTCTTTAACTTGTCAACAATCACTCTAGATACCCAATCAGCATTAGCATTCTTGTTGAAGAACTTTCTTCTATATTTGTGCTTCTGAAATAGAGTTTTGATCCTAAATGATGTAGTTCTCAAAACCCTGCTACATAAAACCGTGTAATCACATTGTTGTTTGTCCTTACAAACAACCCAACACCTTGTCCCATCATTTTTGGAAAACCTGACCTCCCTACCATTCAACATATTGTGTTCCAGTACAACCTTTTTAAATTGCTTCAGAGAAGAAAATTTCATTCCCACCTTGAATTTAAATTTTTTTCCTAAGGTTTTCATGTTCATTAAACCTTATCACTAAAGGCCTACCATTATCACTATCATCATCTGCCCTACTATCAAGTTCATCTGTGATGTAATCATCCTCAATTACATGTTCCCTTTGCATCTCAGTTGTAGTCAACCCTTTAGGTATCCCTTGACCATTATCCATTTGACCTCTACCATCACCATTACCCACTCCACTTGTACCATCATCTTCACCCATGTTTCATAAAAATCGTGCATCCTCTCTTCTTAACTATCTTCAAAGTGTATACCATTCAATGAGTCTTCAGATGATTCACTGTCCTCGCCATCTTCATTTTTCTCAACATTACGTGGCCTTTTTCTTTCTCTTTTAACCTCTCCATATAAGTCTTCTCACCACAAGATAATCTTGCCTATGTATATATCTCAACATCACACTTAGTCTCCTCGGAACACTTAGCTAACATTGTTGCATCCTCATCATTAACAAAGAGATTTAGATCATTTTCAAGTGAGCCATGTTCAGACTTCCACCATATTTTCACATCTTCAGTTTTAAACGATGAATCTATACCCTTAATTAAGTCACATGCTTTAAAGTATGACCAGAAATTAGGATCTTTCCCACATACAGCGTAAACACCCCCCTTTCGTATTTTAACCCTTCATCCTTTACAAATGACCCTTTAGTATAAAAGACAACCTTAAATAACCCCATTGCCTACACATTTCAAGACAAAACAAGGATAACTCAAACATTACCAACAGATAGATTAAAGATGAAAAACCCTAGAATTTGGGACCAGATCATGGGGTATGCAAGTAATGCTCGGAATGAATAAACTATAGCAAGTGGAACTTACCTAATCGTTGTTGGGACTGCAACAACGCAGCAACCAGTTGAGGATTCGTCAATGTTTGAGACCACAAGATGAAGAATCGTTAATGTTTGGGACCACTGTCGAAGGAATGTGATTTTGAAACATGAGATATGCCACTTACTTTAATGAATTCCATATCAGAAAATAAAACAAATTATTTAATCCATTTGTTTTGCCACATAGAAAGTCGTTAGTGAAACTTGACGTTAGAGACCAATTATCCAGACAAAATTTTTTAAAGGGACTAATCCTTAAAGAAAAATATTTGAAGGACTGATAAATGAAATTTATAAGATATTTAGAGCCACCAAAAATTTATTTAACTCTTTTAGAAATATAAGTGAATTACGATGAGAGGTGGCTTTATTATGATTTTGTATTATGTGATGTAGCATAGTCAATTTAGGAATCACTAAACAAGTCTATTTTGAATGTTTTATTCGAGGGTTCTGATGTACAATTTTTAACAACAAAAACTCATGTCCATATAAAATTTTCAATAATTTCTTTAAATCTATATTATTGAAATTTTGGATAATTTGACTATATTTATTGTCTATATTATTTTCAATAGAAACACTTTTAAAAATAATTTACAAACCACCGTTAATTTTTTATATTTTACAAGTAATCTTACTCTATGAATTTTTTTATAGAAGCAAAAGTATACAAGATAATACACTTGAGACTTCTCAACATGAATGACACCCAACCACTTCGGTTAATACTATTTTTCTTATCTAAAATTATAAATTGAATTATTTTAAATTAAAATAATTTACAATTGTAATTGTAAAATTTCAAAAATATCTTCTTGAAGATTTTCAATTTAAGATTTTATTGCGGAAAACTCAATGTTAGACAAGTAAATTTCTACAAAAAATATTTTAAAATTTTCAGTGTATAATTTTAATATGAAAAACTTAACATTTAGTCACATTTAAGCCGTGAATAAATTTAAAAAGACATTAACATATAAAAATTATTTTGTTGAGGTAAAGTCAAATTAAAAAAAAAAAGTAAAATTAATAAATATATTGAAGGTATAATAATAGGAGTATAAGGTAACATTTTCCAACAATGCACCGTTTTAGATATTATTTGCTCCCACAGATTAGCCCAAGGAGTAAAACAAACAAATGAATTAACATTGTAACTAAATAGTTTTTAAGAAATAGTTTGTTGCCATTATGGTAAATACTACAAGAATAGTTCGAATAGCTTTTGGCAAACTTTCTATTTTAAACCTCTATTGTTTTTCCAGTATTCTTATAAAACTGATCTTTGTTGCTACCGCATATCAATGAATACTTCCCAACTTGCATCTGCATGAACGTTTATAATCAACAATTCTTCATACACACCTAGCATCTCATAGAAAAACCAGCCATCTTCTCTTTACATTTTGAGTTTTAACCTTTAAAATTATTTATAATTCTCATTTGATTGTAAACTTGCATGCTATGCTACCTTCCATAAGAGAGACGTTCTTATAAGCATGATTTCCGGTAAAGATATGTACGATATTTTCACGGCGATTGTGCCATTATATGTTGCTATGTTATTAGCATATGGTTCGGTTCGTTGGTGGAATATCTTCGCACCTGATCAATGTTCTGGAATAAACCGTTTTATCTCAGTTTTCGTAGTTCCGTTACTGGCTTTCCATTTTATATCTTCCAATGATCCATATGCTATGAACTACCGTTTCTTAGGAGCTGATACACTTCAAAAAGTAGTTATCCTTGTTGCTCTTTTTCTATGGAACATGTTCTCAAAAATACAAGATAGTTTTGATTGGACTATAACACTTTTCTCTCTTTCGTCTCTCCCTAACTCACTTGTTATTGGAATCCCTCTTTTAAAAGCTATGTATGGTGATTTGTCAGGAACTCTCATGATACAAATTGTTGTTATGCAAAGTGTTATTTGGTGCACTGTTTTGCTTTTCTTGTTTGAATATAGAGCGGCTAAACTTCTTATTTCAGAAAAGTTTCCCGAAACTGCAGCTTCTATAGCTGCATTCAAAGTTGATTCTGATATTGTTTCGCTTAACGATCGAGAACCACTTCAAACTGATACTGAGATAGGAGAAGATGGTAAAATTCGTGTTATTGTTAGCAGATCAACTACTAAATCTATGGTATCGGCATTTTTTGACGTATCTCAATCAAATCTTAGTAGTGTTGAGATATATTCAGCTCAATCATCAAGAAATTCAACACCAAGTTTTTCTACTAGTATTAGCCCTACTGATAATTTTCAGAGTAATAGTAATGATATTAGTGGCGATGTTAATTTTGTGCAATCTTCGATAGGGGAAACACTGAGGTCTTTGAATTTGGAAGATGAGAATTTGAAGATAAATAAGAGAGAGAGGAATCTTAATGGTGAGTTATGGCGGGTTTTACCCTCTCCAAATAGATTGCTTTCTGGTTTTATTATGTTTTGTTGATTAATAATTTTGAAGTGTTGGAATTTTTTCGAAATGCAGATGTTAATGAATTGATTGAGAATACTAATTGTGACGAAGGGGATGTAGGGATTGTAAAGAAAAACAAAGATATGCCAGCAGCAACTGTGATGGCAAAACTCATCCTCATCATGGTTTGGAGAAAACTCATTAGAAATCCTAATACCTACGGAAGTCTTTTAGGACTTGTTTGGTCTCTTATAGAATTCAAGTATAAAAACCTTCTATATTTTTTTTTATTTTTGATAAAATATTTCTATATAGTATATTTGTTTAATTGATATTGATTTTTACACTGTCAATCAATCGATCCCTGTAGGTGGCACATTGAAATGCCCTCAATGGTGAAAAGTTGCTTCTTAATACTAGCTAGTGGTGGTCTTGGATTGGCCATGTTTAGTCTAGGTTTGTCCATGGCATTACAGCCTAAGCTGATTCTATGTGGAAAACGAGTTGCAACATTTTCTATGGCTGTGAGGTTCTTGGTCGCTCCTGCTGTGACTGCAGCAACCTCATTAGCAGTTGGCCTCCACGGCGCTCTATTACATTTTACAATTGTTCAGGTTAAATTAAAATCCCTTTATCAAAATATATAGCTATCGACTTTATCTTTTAATTTTTTTCGCCTGAATGACATAGGGAAAAAATACCATTAACCTAAATATCATCAAGGGACTTCATTTTTCTTTGTAGTTTTTTAACATGATGTTTAATTTTTGCAGGCTGCCCTTCCTCAGGGTATTGTTCCCTTTGTGTATGCCAAAGAATACGATCTACATGCAGATATACTAAGTGTTGGGTGAGTCTCGTTTAAATCTCTAATATAAGAAAACCTCTAGTTTAGTAAAATAAATACTAAAAAGAATTTGGTATTTATGCAGAGTTATATTTGGAATGTTGGTTTCATTGCCCATAACAATACTCTACTATGTGCTTCTTGGTTTATAGTTGGTTATCTTGGATGCAGAAACAATTGAAAAGAATTATGTTGTGGCTTCAAGGCTCACTAAGATAGATGAATGGTAGGAAATAATGTATTAGTTTGTTGAATTTTAATGTCAAGAAATTCAAAGTATCTTCCATTTTAGACTCATGGATCTTCTAGCCTCTCATTGTTGCTTCTCCTACTCTTTGTTTCAATCACGATCTTCATAAAACCGCGACGAATCGCACATGTTGCTGATCGGAGAATCAAGCAATTTCATTATTAACCTTAAAGAATTAAACAACTTGATCATTTTAACAAACAGATAACGAATTCCTGATATTGAAACTTCCAAAATTCCCGAAGTAATAGGTTACTCACCGATGAATTCAGGAGATGTTGAATGTTTGTGGCGGCAGCATGGTGAACTAGAAAACGAAAGGTAGAAGGGGGCAATTTTCAACATCACTTTCTCCCGATATATTATACTAAGTAGAACATCTGCACGGAAGTCAATTCTTATATTACAATGACATCCTTGGACATAATTCTAATCCTATTTTTTATGTGTTATTATCTATTTAATCTAAATTCAATGTGTGGGATTTTGGATCGAACTCTAGTATGATCGAAGTACATGCTGTAGTCGAAGAAGAGTCTAGCATGTATTTGTCGAAGGATGCTTGTTAAATTAGGTTTTAGTGTTTAAACCCTAATTTGTTAAGTTAGCTTGATTGTTAAGTTAGCTTGTATAATGGGCCTTGTGGAAAAAGCCCATTAGTTAGTATGTTAGGTTTTATTATAAATAGCATACTAGTCTCTCATCATTGTATCACAGCAAATCCTAATTCAGGGTGAGAGGGTTATTTGTTATTCTTGTAAACTTGTAATCTTGTTTTCGAAGAGAAAGTAAAGAAAAGCAGTTATAACCAATTCTTGTGTTCTTCTTCTTCCTTGTTCTTCATTCTTCCATTATTCTATACTTTGTTATTGGCATTGAATTCACAACAAATTGGTGCGGTGAGCGTGGAGAAGATGCCTTCAACAAAGTATGAGATTGAAAAGTTCACCGGAGTGAATGATTTCGGTCTATGGCGCTTGAAGATGAAAGCCCTACTGGTTCAGCAGGGTTGTTTGGAAGCGTTGAAGGGAGCGACGGCGATGGACGCTGCGCTAACAGAAAGAGAGAAGACGGCCATGATCGAGAAAGCACACAGCGCAATTCTGTTGAGCCTTGGTGACAAGGTTCTTCGACAGGTATCAAAGGAGACGACGACATCAGGGTTATGGGTGAAACTTGAAAGTTTGTATATGACCAAATCTCTGGTAAATCGACTCTACCTGAAGCAAGCTTTGTACTCATTCAAGATGATTGAAGACAAAGTGTTGGCTGAGCAGTTGGATATGTTCAACAAGCTGATTCTTGATCTTGAAAATATTGATGTAAAGATTGATGATGAAGATCAAGCGTTGTTATTGTTGTGCGCTTTGCCCAGATCACATGCTCACTTCAAAGAAACCCTCTTGTATGGAAGAGAGTCCCTGACCTTTGAAGAAGTTCAATCAGCTTTGTACTCTAAGGACTTGAACGAACGTAAGGAGCATAAACCTTCGACGGTTGGTGAAGGTTTGGCTGTTAAAGGAAAAATCGACAAGAGGAAAGGTAAAAATCAGTCGAAGTCTTATAGTGGTGATGCATCTGGTATTAGATGCTATCACTGTAAGAAAGTAGGTCACACAAGAAAGGTGTGCCCTGAACGCCTGAAAGATCATGGAGGTAAGGATAATGGCAACGCAGCTATTGTCCAAGATGATTTCGAATCATCTGATGTTCTTGTGGTTTCAAGCAACAACTCATCGAAGGAGTGGATTATGGATTCTGGATGCACTTGGCACATGACTCCAAACAAAGACTTGTTCGAGGAATTATGTGATCAAGATGGTGGATATGTATTGCTGGGAAACAACAAAGCTTGCAAGATTGCAGGCGTTGGATCTGTGAGATTCAAGCTCCATGATGAGTCAATAAGATTGTTGACTGAAGTCAGATATGTACCTGATTTGAAGAGAAATTTGATTTCTCTTGGTGAATTCGACAAGAAAGGATATGTTTTTCAAGGAGAGAAAAGTATCCTGAGAGTCATGAAAGGGTCGAAGGAAGTCTTGAGAGGCGTGAAGAAACAAGGCTTGTATACCCTTGAGGCTGAAGTTGTAAGTGGCTCGACAAATGTTGCATCCACGAAACCTTTGTCGAAAACAGAAATTTGGCACATGAGATTGGGCCATGTCAGTGAAAGGGGTCTGGTTGAATTAGGGAAACAAAATCTGCTTGGTGGAGATAAAGTCGAAAAGCTGAAGTTTTGTGAACCCTGTGTACTTGGAAAGTCCTGTAGAATGAAGTTCAACAAAGGCAAACAAAGAACACATGGATCCCTTGATTACGTCCATGCTGATCTTTGGGGGCCTGCAAGGTGTCCATCACATTCAGGAGCAAAGTATTTTCTATCCATAGTAGATGACTATTCCAGAAAGTTATGGGTATTCATCCAGAAGACTAAGGATGAAACTTTTGAGAATTTCAAAAGTTGGAAGACTCTTGTCGAAAATCAAACTGGCAGAAAGGTAAAGAGGTTGAGAACCGACAATGGCCTTGAGTTTTGCAATGAGGCGTTCGACAGTTTTTGTGTTGCCTCTGGTATTGCAAGGCACAGAACTACCGCAGGTACTCCACAACAAAATGGTTTGGCTGAAAGGTTTAATCGAACTATTTTGGAGAGAGTTAGATGCATGTTGACTAGTGCGGGATTAAAGAAGGTGTTTTGGGCTGAGGCTGTTTCGACAGCAGCATATCTGATAAACAGATGTCCTTCGACAGCGTTAGATATGAAGACACCTGAAGAAGTTTGGTCGGGACATCCACCAGATCTCGACAAACTAAGAGTATTTGGCTGTGTAGCCTATGCTCACATTAGGCAAGACAAGGTCGAACCTAGAGCTCTGAAATGCATGTTTATGGGATACCCTGAAGGAGTGAAAGCTTATAGGCTATGGTGCCTAGAGCCAGGTCACAGGAGGTGTATCACCAGTCGAGATGTAGTTTTCAATGAAACTGAAATGGCTTTCAAGAAAACTGATGATGTTGACGAAGAGCTGGAACAGGTAGAGATTCCTGTTGAGGTGGAGCATGTTGATGCTGAAATGCGTATCCCAGATGAAGTCGAAGAAGAAACAGAAGATTCTGATGATGTCGAGGAAACTGTTGATGACTACCTATTGTCGAGAGATAGGCAAAGAAGAGTCATAAAACCACCTCAGAGACTTGGATATGCAGATCTTGTAGCTTATGCCTTAATCTCTGCAAGTGAAGTTCTAGACGAAGAACCTAGAGATTATAAGGAAGTTATAAGGAGTCGAATGAAGACTGAATGGCTAAAGGCCATGCATGATGAGATGAAATCTCTTCATGATAATCACACTTGGGAACTAATCAAGAAACCTGTTGGGGCAAGGTTAGTCAGCTGTAAGTGGATTTTCAAAGTTAAGGAAGGAATTGAAGGAGTAATGTCGAAGAGGTACAAGGCAAGATTAGTCGCAAGGGGTTTCACTCAGAAAAAAGGTGTCGACTTCAATGATGTATTTTCCCCTGTTGTGAAGCACAGATCCATCCGAATGTTGCTTTCCATGGTGGCTCAGTTCGACCTTGAACTGGAACAAATGGATGTGAAGACTGCGTTCTTGTATGGTGACTTAGATGAAACAATCCTGATGAGGCAACCTGAAGGGTATGTCGAAAAGGGGAAAGAAGATTATGTGTGCAAACTAAAGAGATCTTTATATGGACTTAAACAATCTCCTCGACAGTGGAATAAGAGATTCGACAAGTTCATGGAACACATAGGTTTCATTAGAAGTCAGTTCGACCATTGTGTTTACTCCAGATTTCGACCTGAAAATTCATTTGTAATTTTGTTGCTTTATGTTGATGATATTCTGATAGCAAGCAACAATGTCGAAGATGTAATGAGGGTGAAGGCTGAACTCAATAAGGAGTTTGACATGAAGGATCTGGGAGCTGCATCTAGGATTCTTGGAATTGACATTCGAAGAGATAGAAAGCAGTCGAAACTATGCTTATCTCAAGAGGCATACCTACGAAAGATTCTTGACAAGTTTGGTATGTCGAACTCAAAGCCTGTTGTGACTCCAACAAACCCTCAATTCAAGCTGAGTATTGATCAATGTCCCAGTACTGATGTTGAAAGAACCTATATGAACAGCATCCCATATGCTAATATAGTTGGTTCTTTGATGTATGTTATGGTCTGTACTAGACCCGACATAGCATATGCAGTAAGTCTTGTAAGCAGGTACATGGCGAATCCTGGAAAGGCTCACTGGCAAGCGTTAAAGTGGATTCTAAGGTACATAAATGGGTCTCTGAACAGAGTCTTAATTTATGGTGGAGCCCTGGGTGAAGATAGTAAAGCAGCAGTCGAAGGCTATGTTGACTCTGATTATGCAGGCTGTATGGATTCCAGAAAATCTATTTCTGGATATGTTTTCACTATGTTTGGTACAGCAATTAGTTGGAAAGCAACTCTTCAGAAGGTTGTTGCCTTATCAACTACTGAAGCAGAATATATTGCCCTAACTGAAGCTGTGAAAGAAGCATTGTGGCTTGAAGGTTTTGCGAAGGAGCTGAAACTTCAAGGTCAAGGTATCACTGTTAAATGTGATAGTCAAAGTGCAATACACCTGTCGAAGAACTCAGCCTATCATGAGCGAACCAAGCACATAGATGTGAGGCTGCATTTCGTCAGAGGGGTAATCGAGCGTGGAGAAGTCCAAGTGCTGAAGGTCTCGACAGATCACAATGCCGCTGATATGATCACGAAAACATTGCCAAGTTGCAAGTTTTTCCACTGTATGCAGTTGATAAAGCTGCATGAAGAAAGCTAGTTAGTGTCTCTTGATGCTGTAGAGTTAGGTCCAAGGTGGAGATTTGTGGGATTTTGGATCGAAC